TTCGCGTTACCTGTTGAACAGCAGAGATGGGCATGCTTTCTGCGTCCATGTGGTCACACGAGGTCCTTCTCGTCATCTCCCCACGACGGAGCGAGGGCTGTGGGCTGGGGCAGAGTCAGGACCAGGGAGCATGATGAGGGACAGCGGTCCCGCAGGAACCCTCTACGCGACTAGGTTTGGGAGCACCTCAGCCAATGGGCCACAGCACATGCGGGAGGGAGAAGGGAGGACATACCAGTGGGCACGAGGTGTGGGGGGCTGATGAGCCACTTCAAGAAGGCAAATGGCCAAGGCAGAGAAAAGTACAACCTGCTACTCAACATCGTAGCCACCTAAGGGCTACTGCCGCCAAGGGCTCTTTAAGTTAGAATTCATCAACATGAAGCAAAGGCAAAGATTTATTTCCTCAGTCACACGAGCCACATATTAAGGGTTCAACAACCGCATTTTGGTGAGCGCAAAACACGAAACGTTTACAACATCGCAGACGTAAACCGTCTGTGTCATAATCCCAAATATGACCATCTTCGCTCCAGGTTAAAAGCAAAGTCTCATGGAAAACAAACTTATGGTTACCAGAGGGGATAGAGGGGGTGGGGGGAGATAAATTAGGAGTTTGGGATTAACATATACACACTACTGCATATAAAACAGATAAACAACAAGGACCTACTGTATAGCACAGGGAACCATATTCAGGGCCTTGTAATAATCTATAATGGAAAGGAATCTGAAAAACAATATATATTTATAACTGAATCACTTTGCTGTACACCTGAAGCTAACACGACATTGTAAATTAACTATACTTCAATTAAGAAATGGTTATTAAAAAAAAAGCAAAGTCTCACCTTTGCCCAATTACATATGGTCAGAACAGCCATCTTTATTGAATGAGAAAACAAAGGAGAGACATTGCATTGAGTCACTGCTAATTCAAAAAGAGTCATGTACCACAGTGTTCACTGCAGGTCTATTTACAATAGCCAGGACATGGAAGCAACCTAAGTGTCCATCGACAGATGAATAGATAAAGAAGATGTGGCACATATATACAATGGAATATTACTCAGCCATAAAAAGAAACGAAATTGAGTTATTTGTAGTGAGGTGGATGGACCTAGAGACTGTCATACAGAGTGAAGTAAGTCAGAAAGAGAAACAAATACCGTATGCTAACACATATATATGGAATCTAAAAAAAAAAAAATCGTTCTAAAGAACCTAGGGGCAGACCGGAATAAAGACGCAGACGTAGAGAATGGACTTGAGGACACGGGGAGGGGGAAGGGTAAGCTGGGACGAAGTGAGAGAGTGGCCTTGACATATATACACTACCAAATGTAAAATAGCTAGCTAGTGGGAAGCAGCCGCATAGCACAGGGAGATCAGCTCGGTGCTTTGTGACCACCTAGAGGGGTGGGATAGGGAGGGTGGGAGGCAGGGAGACACAAGAGGGAGGAGATATGGAGATATATGTGTATGTATAGCTGATTCACTTTGTTGTAAGGCAGCAACTAACACACCATTGTAAAGCAATTATACTCCAATAAATATGTTAAAAAAAGTCACTGCTAAATTAGATAGATCCCACTTTAAAAATAGAACGCATAACTAATTTCTGATTTTTCCTGAGAGAAGGCATCTCTTGAGAGTCTTTAAGTCTCTAAAGTATCCAGAATGCCTTTTAGTATAATTATTAAAAAATACTTTGTGAATATATTATTTACAGTATTCAAAAAATGCGGGCAAGGGGCTATGGGGTATCAAGGCTAATGCAACTGGGACACAATTCGAGCTCCACGTGATGGGGTTGCTCTCTTTCTCCACCTTTCCTCATCAACTCCTCCTCTCATCCATCAGTCTCAAGACAGACTGGGGCACCGTCTGTCTTCTGAACACGCCAAGCCAGTTTTTGTTCCAGACATGTTGCAAATGTTATTTCCTCAGTGTGAGGTTCTCTTCCCTCAGATCTTTGCACGGCTGGCACATGTGACCTAACACCTGAATGCTGACAAGGGGTTAAGTCAAACATGATCCTCCTGGACGACCTTCTGGACACCTGTCTATGGCCCCTGCTTCCAGCCTTGCACTCCTGTAGCTCTATGTATTTATAATTCATCTGTATCAGCTTCTTTGTTGTACTTGCCACTCCCTGAAATGACCTCAATTACTTGTTTACTGTTTGTGAGCAAGGACCTTGTCTCCTTCACTGCGGTATACAGTGCCTAGAACAGAGTCTGGTAATAAACATCTGTTTAAACAATGAATGAATGAATGCACGAAAGGGATAAAGCCCTGCATCTGTGTTGCTTATGTTCTAGTGAAATAGTAATAGCTAACAAGTGAGAATTTACTATAGAGTAGACACTTTACATAAATTATCTAATTTACTAATGTAGAAATCTGATAAAATACTCTTATTATCCCTATTCTACAAATTAAAAATACTGGGTCTTAGATCAGTTGAGTAACTTGCACGAGATTAATGGGTGGAGACAGAATGGAGCGCCGGCAATCTTATCCCAGGACAACGCCTTCATCAGAGCCCTGTCTCTCTCTTTCTCCTCTCTGTGCACATTTCAGAATTAATTTCCTCAATTGGGTTCCACATCCCCTTGAGTCCTTGGTGCTTGAGTCTTACTTTGAATGAATAATAATGATAATGATAATAATCTACAATGTTTATAAAGCCCTCTACAGTTTATGTAGCAGATTCTCATGTGTTATCTCTTTTTGGATCCTTATAACTATCCTCTGAGCTAGGCAGGAAAGATATTATTATCAGCAAAATCACCCAGTGGAGAAGATACTCAGCATAAAGGAAAAAATCATTATTTTTGCATGTGAGAAAAACAATGTCACCCTGATTTTAAATGTCACCCCAATTTTGAGAATAGCCTCTGGCTTCTCCGTGAAATCACTGGAGTGAATGGTAGAAGATAAGTAGCACTTCTGTGCATGAATAAACCATGAAATATTATTTGACAATAAAATTTTCAATTAATGTGGAAATATTTGCTCTGAATCTTGGCTCTTGACGATTTAAGTCTCGGCCAAATATTAAAAATATGTTTTATTTCATTGCACAAAGCACTCTGCAGATGCTTAGATTCCTGAGAAACTGAAAACTGCCATTTTTCAGCATCCTGAATATGAATTAGGCTGATGGATGGACCATGTTGGGAGAATTAGGTTCTCTGGGACACTAAGTAGCCTTTACCCTTGCGCAGTGTGGCTCTGTTAGAGAAACAGGGGCTTTTACTCCGACCGGCTTTCAGATGCCAGTTTTCCTGGGCCTCTTGATCCTTTGTGGAATCCTCTTCAATCCAGTGATCATGCCAAAAAATAGTAAAATTTTAAAAAGGGAATCTGATCAAATATTTTTGACCAACGCGTTTATTTAGAATTGTGTACCTTAAAAAAGATCTGTGTGATGTCTCAGACAAATACGCAGATTGCAGGGTAGGCATTTTATTGTGCACAGTGACGCAATGGGAGACTATGAAACAAAATGAATGAAGCGGAACTCCATGGATCATGACGGATTGACGTGGAAACGGAATGTTGAGTAAAAATAGAGCAAGATGCAGAAGTGTAGTTATAGTGCACCAGTTATGTGATGTTACTAACATGTAAAATTGCCCGATTATTTTATACATGCATTTGCAGCTAAAATATAAGGATGTTGGTGATAAAAGGTAGACGTTAAATTCAGGGTAGTGATTGGTTCAAGGGCTGGTGGGGGAAGGTAGGAAATGGGACCCGTGAGATGTACTCAGGATGCTGCAATTGTATTTGTAAGTGGTAGATTCATGGGGGGTTATTACTTAGTTTACTTTTAAAAAAAATTTATTTATTATTATTTTTAAATTTATTGTTTTGTTTGGCTGTGCTGGGTCTTCATTGCTATGTGCAGGCTTTCTCTAGCTGCGGCGAGCGGGGGCTATTCTTCGTTGCGGTGCTACTCTCATTGAGGGGGCTTCTCTTGTTGCCGAGCATGGGCTCTAGGCACAGGGCTTCAGTAGTTGTGGCTCTTGGGCTCAGTAGTTGTGGCTCACGGGCTCTAGAGCGCAGGCTCAGTAGTCGTGGTGCACGGGCTTAGTTGCTCCACGGCATGTGGGATCTTCCCGGACCAGGGCTCGAACCCGTGTCCCCTGCATTGGCAGGCAGATTCTTAACCATTGCGCCACCAGGGAAGCCCTTGTTTACTTTTCAAAAAGCTAAGATATTTCATCACTAAACAACAAAAACCCCATTCTCCTACATAGTTGCAAAACAGTTTGGTAACTGCCACAACAGAGGTGTGTAGAGGGAGGAGGAAGCCTTTGTTTAAAGCTCAGAAGGTTGCAGAAGAGAGGGGAAAACATGCAGCTGCCCTGAAGGATGGGTGAGGCTGGCCTGGCGGTGAGATCATTCTAGAAGAAGAAAAGCACATCCAAAGTACCAGGGGCATGACAACACCTGATGTGAATGGAAGCTGGCGTCATAATTCCTGGGGCTGGAGCATACGCCACAGGTCAAAACCATACATACAAGGTCATGAGGTACTTAAGAAAGCGGATTCTGGACTACCTGGGTTCAAAATCCGGCTCTGCCTTTTACACTATATAACCATCATTCTTTTTATTAAACAATTTTTATTTGTTTTAAAATTTTTTGTTTAATGTTTTTGGCTGTGCCCTGCAGCATGTGGGATTTTAGTTCCCCAACCAGGGATCCAACCCGCACCCCCTGCATTGGAAGGGTAGAGTCTTAACCACTGGACGGCCAGGGAAGTCTCCTTTAACCATCATTTTGTTATTTAATCTCTCTGTGCCTCTATTTCCTCATCTGTGAAATGGGGCTACAGAGACAATACTTAGTGTTAGCTGCCATTGTTGTTGCGATGAGGGTGATAATCATTAACCCTTACAGCAACCCACCTGCTCCTCCAGGCACCCTGAGTCCTGTGGATTCTGCCTTACTAGGGTCTCTAATGTTACTCCCTTCTACTGCAGCTCAAGTCCTCAGCCTCAATTCATGTGTCCTTCAAAACGAGACGATCGGCCTCAAGCCCCGCTCCTCTCACGTCAGGTCGGAAGGCCTTCCCGGGATGCTTTGCGGTGCTTGCACATTCAGGGGGAGTGTCTTCCATGGGCCAGAGCAGCCTCCCCTCACCCAGCCTGCTGACCTTGAGTGCCATCCAGAGTAATGTGTATTCATCCCACTGTCCATAATCTGTTTCCACATACCATGTGCTTGGGGCGTCATAAAACTTTGGCGCAGAGAAAGTCGAAAACAAAGGAGAAGTCTTTAATTCTTATTATTTTCATATGCCACTTCACTAGATTTCTCTCTCTCTTTTGTTTCTGTACTTACTGTTTCTAGGTTAACACAGCTTTCATGCCCCTGTACCAGAGATGGGAATTGTTATCTCTCATTTCCCCGTCTCATTATTTTGACTCAGGAGGTAGAACGTGCATCAGCCATTGATGGCACGTTTCATCTCCCCCACTGACCGTCTGCAGTCCTCTCCTCACTCTGAGGTAGGCTCATCGCTTGCCTTTGCCTTTTGGTGTTATTGTACATCCTTCCTTCCTAAGTGTCTGCTTTCTAGGATGCTACAAGGAAGTTGTGTAAGGCATGTTGGGGGGATTTGTTAATTAGTCTGCATTCTAACCTGGATGTTCCATATCGCGGCAGGAGTGGCGCTGTGCCGTTCTGGACGCAGCCCTTTGAAGGTATAGAAACTCCTGCTTCTGTGCTTCAGGAATGCTGTAAGGAAGCTCAGGCTATCCTGCTGGAGAGAGGCCACTTGAAGAGGCCGTGGAGGGACAGACACCGTGTGGAGGAGGCCCCAGACTTCTTGGACCTTCCGGTCCATGACCAATGCCAGGCTGCATCACACGGAACAGAAGAAACACAGGCCACCTGCAGAATCTAGATCAGTCACCATTAATCGTTTTAAGATGCTGAGTTTTGGGGAGGTTTGTTACTCAGCAATTGATAACTGAAACACTCAATTAGTCTGCATGTTCTTCATTAAGAGACTATGAAATGGTAAGAAACAATGTAGAATTTTATGAGGACAGGCTTTCTCTCCTATCTCTAATGTTATCTTCATTCCACTTGCATGTCAGATTTTATTCTGCTTCTAACAGGCTTATTCCCATATCTGTGCTTATTTTTGATAAATCCCCAATTTTCAGTCTAGAGTGATTTTGTTTCATGTCTGCCTGAGTTAGTGTGATCTTTGGGGGAAAATTTCTACTCAGGGAGCCTAAGAACAATTACATTGCTTGTGAATTCTAGTCATGCAATGTTTTAAGAGGTATATTCATAGCAGTGCCTTCACAATATTTATTGGGAATAAAATTGGTAAGATCCAATGATGATCTCTTTAAAACAGTTATTTGGTAAAATCTGTGGGTCTGGGGGGCCAACATGATGGCAGAATAATTGCTAAGTCACTGTCAAGGCGTTGCTCTATTTAATGTCTGCAATTTTGCACAAGCCAAGCGGAACTAATCAAAATATTGAAGGTAGGTTCTTGCTGCTGAAAACTCCCCCAACACATACCAGGAGAACTGTTTACAAGGCCAAAAATACGAGTTTATATATCGTGAGTGAATTGGATTTTTAAAATAAGAAACCGTGGTTGAAATGAAGCAATCATTTGTTCTAAAGAGAACTACTAGTGATGTTTTCAGCAATTAAGTTCTTATTGTGCCCGTCGCTGGTGCATCTGGGGTAACACAGGCATAGGCTTAAGCAGCCCCATCATTTTTTTTTAACCCATTTTGGACACATTTACCTGTTTTTCACAACAGAGTCTCTCTGTGTATATTTCAGAGCCTCTGTGTGAGGTGTGGTTGGCTTCCTCTGACAGCCCCTCCCTGTGTGTGCCCCGCCCAACCAGGACTAACCCCATCCCGTGGGTGGAGACTGGGAGAGGTAACCTCACGGATTCTTCCTTGCCTGTTACCCTCTTGTTGACCTTCCTCCCAGAGGCTCAGTGCTTGCCAGCCTCACCCTTGATCCTAAAGGCTTGCAATCAGATCCTCCCTCCTAGTCTGTCCTTTCTTCCAGTTCGTCCTTCCACCGGAATTCAACCGTCCTGTCTTCTTTCCTTTATAGAACGTCCTGTTCAGATGGTGGGCAGTCCTTGGAACTAAGAACCTGATACAAGATCACGTGTTAACCCAAATGAGGGTCCATAAGGATGGAATTTTTAGGCCACAGGAAAAAATATTTTGAGACAAAAGGCTACTTTTATTCTCCTAAATGAACACCAAACTCTTGGTGGCTCATACAGTAGAGCTAGCACAGTTTATGGACAGACTGACCCGGGCCCGTGGGAGTTTCATCAGCTCTGAGTCTCTTGAACACAGCAGTGATCCCAGAGGTAAGACAAAAAGCTGAGCAACAGTGAGAAAATCTGTCAAAATCACCTTGTTCGTTTTTTTGTATCAGACAAAGAATCACCTTCAGAACCAGGGATGTAGGTTCAGGTACGTAATTATGGAGTAGGGGAGCAGCTGTCAGGCCAAAGTAAGAGCAGAGCCAAGGAGATGGGAGACCAGGGAGACAGAAGAGGGAGGGCAGACGGGCATCTTGTACGTTTGCAGGCTCGACGGCTGCACAGTGATATTCATACGGTAGGGTCAGGCTCAGGCATATTAATAGCGATTACCCCACATCCTCAGAAAAGATGAGGTTGTATTCTAGGCGCTTTGTTTAAAAAGGCAACAAAGTGTAATGCATTTTTAAAAAGGCCTAATTGTATGTGGTTCACACACAAAATTTTTGCTGCTACAAGAGGTAAAAGTTGAGTTATTTGGGAAAGTTAGTTATTTAGAACAGATCACTCCCTAAACATGCTAGGCGCGCGCGGGCACCTGCACCACCCGACATGCACACATCGATCTAGATTCAAACGCAGAAATGCAGTTGCTGGATCTTGAGCATTTCATTTGGATCAGCTCCATTTATCTTCCCATTGATCTTGGGGACGATACTACTTTGACTTCCGATTCACATAGTTTCTAGTCATTCTCTGTCACTTCTTGCTGCCCCCTGTTTGTGCTGTGGGATTCCCTTTACCCTGTCTTTCCTATTCCAGTCCTACCTGAAGGCCACCTGGCTGCGTCCTCTGCAACATGAAAAGCACCATTAGCTCATGCCACTATGGTTTGAGTCTATGGGAAAAGATGGGCCCTAGCCCGGGGGTGTCACCAGCCAGGGGGCCTGGATAAGGCAGGGTGGGAGGAGGTGGCAGCAGAGAGATGCAGAGGAGAAAGCCAGCTAAAGACACTAGGTTAAGGCTTTAAGCAGCTTAAACCAACATTGGTATATTTATTTTATGGCTTTATTTTCCCTCTTCAGAAATAATTAGCCTTCAGCATCATTAACATTGTGTAAGTTAAAGGTTGAATTAAGAGGTTAGAAGGTGGTTAAGAAATCTTATGTTCACACACTGTTACATTTTTCAACTGTTGGTATGGGTGTGTGCATTTAATAATGAACGGTTGGGAAAATCGTTATGATAATCTTAAATAAGAGAGTCATTATACGGAAATTATTGTGTATTTTTCTACAAATAGTCATCTTGATTTGAAATAGGCTAATCAGCTGAATTTAGTGATATATTTGTTCTTTGTATTCCATCTCTGAGGCACTTAGAGAAGAAAAATCACATATTTTAATAGAGCCTGAATTTTTGGAAAATGTTGCCCATCACATCCCATGGGGCTGGGGGAAGGGAGCTGGACAGTCTGGGCTGTGAGCCCTCTACCCTCAGATGTATTCACCAGTCCTTTCTGAGCACTGCCAACTCAGGCTCGGTTTAGAATCCATCAATTTCTTATCCCCATGAAAAGGCAATTTTGTCTAAAACCTTGGAGTCTGTAGACTTCAAAGTTGAAAGAAAAGTCACACCAAAGGCTGAATTTTCTTAAACCCCAAGTTGCACAACAAACTAAGTCTAGGAAAAGACTATGCTATTCTTTACGAAATGTATTATTTTGCTTCCAAATAAAGGATAAATTGGATTTTGAGTTTCTTAACAGGTATTATTTATTATGTTAAAACATTACAGCTACTAACGTCATCATCCATGAAAGAAAATGTGAAATTGATTTCCAATATGTGCCTGGATGTCTTCCCTAATCCTTGCACCGTGGTTGGTAGTTAGAGATGTGAGATTTTTATACTCATATATTCTTGGTTGGAGCAATTGTACTTATGATCACACCCTCTTAGATGGTGGGGTGACTTCACTCTGAAGGGAAAATAAAACTATGCCTAGTCACCAGTTACAAGTAATAAGCCTTGCTTTGAGATTATGGGAACTTCAATTAACAGAGACCCTTTTAAAGGAAACTTGGCAGGAGAAATGTGATACTTGTTGGATATCTAGGTTGGCTTCAATCCTGTTTACTCAACACATTTGTCTTAAACTATTGTCTTTTGTTAAATTTTGTATGTTTGTTTAGCATTTTACTTCACATTCAACCATTTTCGTACATTATAGTTTGCTGTGTCTTTAGTATTTTCTGCATCTTACTGGCTTTTAACCTTTATCGTGTTAGCACATACTATTGTTTTAATAGTTTTAGACTTTTGCTCATTTTCAGTTTTAATTTTTACTGATTACATACAGTTTCTCTGAGCTTTCTATCTGTTTTAGTTAGGATTTTATGTTCAAGGACAGAAAACAGGAAATCTCACATAACTGTGGCTGAAAGAAGATAGAAGCTGACCTAACTTCTCCCTCTGCATAAAAGATGTCCACAGACAGCACTTGAAGGCTGGCAGGGTAACCATTGCTATCAATGAGCAGGGTCCAGACTTTCCGATGCAGGTCCTAATGTGTGTTTTCCACGTTCCTGGTCAACTCATGGTCCAGGATGGCAGCTGCAGCTCCAGCCTGGAAAAGGAATAAGATGAGAAGATTGAAAAGGGGCTCTCCCAGCAGCTTAACTATTTTAAGCAGCCCTCCAGAAGTCCTATCTAGCTCTGGTGCTTACACATCTTGATCAGAACATGACTGCTTGGTTACACCTGGCTGCAAGGTGGGCTGGTGAGTATAGTCTTACCTTCTGGATGGACAATGTGCCAGGTGAAAATTAGGGCTCTGTGTCTAAGTGGTAAAAGGAGAAGGGATGCTGGTCCTGGCAGCTAACCGTGTCTGCCATTTATTTTCTTATTTGACGCTACTTATTTTTAAATCTATTAATCTTTTTTTTACATGTATAAGTACTTTAAATTTTTAATTAAAAATTTTTAATTGAAGTATAGTTGATTTACAATGTTGTGTTAATTTCAGGTGTACAGCAAACTGATTCAGTTGTACATATATATATTCTTTTCCATTATAGTTTATTACAAGATATTGACTATAGGACCCTGTGCTATGCAGTAGGACCTTGTTATCTTTTTTTTTTTCTTCCGGTACGTGGGCCTCTCACTGCTGTGGCCTCTCCCGTTGCGGAGCACAGGCTCCGGATGCGCAGGCTCAGCGGCCATGGCTCACGGGCGCAGCCGCTCCATGGCAAGTGGGATCTTCCCGGACCGGGACACGAACCCGTGTCCCCTGCATTGGCAGGTGGACTCTCAACCACTGCGTCACCAGGGAAGCCCTGTTTATCTATTTTATACTCATTAGCTTGCATCGGCCAGTCCCAAACTCCTAATTTATCACTAGCCCCAAGCCCCCTCCAACTTTCTCCTTTAGTAACCATAAGCTTGTTTTCTATGTCTTTAAGCACTATAAATTTGGTTTCACTAATATTGTATTATTTTTAAGAACTATCCGTTTATTATATTCTACTTTAAATGTATTAGTTTTTAACCCTTTTATTCCTATTTGCAGTACTTTATTTTTTCTAATTTTTTTTAATCTTTATTGGAGTATAATTGCTTTACAATGGTGTGTTAGCTTCTGCTTTATAACAAAGTGAATCAGTTATACATATACATATGTTCCCATATCTCTTCCCTCTTGTGTCTCCCTCCCTCCCACCCTCCCTATCCCACCCCTCCAGGCGGTCACAAAGCACCGAGCTGATCTCCTTGTGCTATGCGGCTGCTTCCCACTAGCTATCTACCTTACGTTTGGTAGTGTATATATGTCCATGCCTCTCTCGTGCTTTGTCACAGCTTACCCTTCCCCCTCCCTATATGCTCAAGTCCATTCTCTAGAAGGTCTGTGTCTTTATTCCTGTCTTACCCCTAGGTTCTTCATGACATTTTTTTCCCCTTAAATTCCATATATATGTTACCATACGGTATTTGTCTTTCTCTTTCTGACTTACTTCACTCTGTATGACAGACTCTAGGTCTATCCACCTCACTACAGATAACTCAATTTCGTTTCTTTTTATGGCTGAGTAATATTCCATTGTATATATATATACCACATCTTCTTTATCCATTCATCTGATGACGGACACTTAGGTTGTTTCCATCTCCGGGCTATTGTAAATAGAGCTGCAATGAACATTCTGGTACACAACTCTTCTTGAATTATGGTTTTCTCAGGGTATATGCCCAGTAGTGGGATTGCTGGGTCATATGGTAGTTCTATGTGTAGTTTTTTAAGGAACCTCCATACTGTTCTCCACAGTGGCTGTATCAATTTACATTCCCACCAACAGTGCAAGAGGGTTCACTTTTCTCCACACCCTCTCCAGCATTTATTGTTTCTAGATTTTTTGATGATGGCCATTCTGACTGGTGTGAGATGGTATCTCATTGTAGTTTTGATTTGCATTTCTCTAATGATTAATGATGTTGAGCATTCTTTCATGTGTTTGTTGGCAGTCTGTATATCTTCTTTGGAGAAATGTCTATTTAGGTCTTCTGCCCATTTTTGGATTGGGTTGTTTGTTTTTTTGTTATTGAGCTGCATGAGCTGCTTATAAATTTTGGAGATTAATCCTTTGTCAGTTGCTTCATTTGCAAATATTTTCTCCCATTCTGAGGGTTGTCTTTTGGTCTTGTTTATGGTTTCCTTTGCTGTGCAAAAGTTTTGAAGTTTCATTAGGTCCCATTTGTTTATTTTTTATTTTATTTCCATTACTCTAGGAGGTGGGTCAAAAAGGATCTTGCTGTGATTTATGTCATAGAGTGTTCTGCCTATGTTTTCCTCGAAGAGTTTGATAGTTTCTGGCCTTACATTTAGGTCTTTAATCCATTTTGAGCTTATTTTTGTGTATGGTGTTAGGGAGTGTTCTAATCTCATACTTTTATATGTACCTGTCCAGTTTTCCCAGCACCACTTATTGAAGAGGCTGTCCTTTCTCCACTGTACATTCCTGCCTCCTTTATCAAAGATAAGGTGACCATATGTGCGTGGGTTTATCTCTGGGCTTTCTATCCTCTTCCATTGATCTATCTTTCTGTTTTTGTGCCAGTACCATACTGTCTTGATTACTGTAGCTTTGTAGTATAGTCTGAAGTCTGGGAGCCTGATTCCTCCAGCTCCGTTTTTCGTTCTCAAGATTGCTTTGGCTATTCAGGGTCTTTTGTGTTTCCATACAAATTGTGAAATTTTTTGTTCTAGTTCTGTGAAAAATGCCAGTGGTAGTTTGATAGGAATTGCATTGAATCTGTAGATTGCTTTGGGTAGAAGAGTCATTTTCACAATGTTGATTCTTCCAATCCAAGAACATGGTATATCTCTCCATCTATTTGTATCATCTTTAATTTCTTTCATCAGTGTCTTATAATTTTCTGTATACAGGTTTTTGTCTCCTTAGGTAGGTTTATTCCTAGGTATTTTATTCTTTTTGTTGCAATGGTAAATGGGAGTGTTTTCTTGATTTCACTTTCAGATTTTTCATCATTAGTGTATAGGAATGCAAGAGATTTCTGTGCATTAATTTTGTATCCTGCTACTTTACCAAATTCCTTGATTAGCTCTAGTAGTTTTCTGGTAGCATCGTTAGGATTCTCTATGTATAGTATCATGTCATCTGCAAACAGTGACAACTTTACTGCTTCTTTTCCGATTTGGATTCCTTTTATTTCCTTTTCTTCTCTGATTGCTGTGGCTAAAACTTCCAAAACTATGTTGAATAAGAGTGGTGAGAGTGGGCAACCTTGCTTGTTCCTGATCTTAGTGGAAATGGTTTCAGTTTTTCAACATTGAGAAAGATGTTGGCCTTGATTTGTCATATATGGCCTTTATTATGTTGAGTTAGGTTCCCTCTATGCCTACTTTCGGGAGAGTCTTTATCATAAATGAGTGTTGAACTTTGTCGAAAGCTTTATCTGCATCTATTGAGATCATCATATGGTTTTTATCCTTCAATTTGTTAATATGGTGTAACACATTGATTGATTTGCGTATATTGAAGAATCCTTGCGTTCCTGGAATAAACCCCACTTGATCATGGTGTATGATCCATTTAATGTGCTGTGGGTTCTGTTTGCTAGTATTTTGTTGAGGATTTTTGCATCTATGTTCATCAGTGATATTGGCCTGTAGTTTTCTTTCTTTGTGACATCCTTGTCTGGTTTTGGTATCAGGGTGATGGTGGCCTCATAGAATGAGTTTGGGAGTGTTCCTCCCTCTGCTATATTTTGGAAGAGTTTGAGAAGGATAGGTGTTAGCTCTTCTCTAAATGTTTGATAGAATTTGCATGTGAAGCCATCTGGTCCTGGGCTTTTGTTTTTTAGAAGATTTTTAATCACCATTTCAATTTCAGTGCTTGTGATTGGTCTGTTCATATTTTCTATTTCTTCCTGATTCAGTCTTGGCAGCTTGTGCATTTCTAAGAATTTGTCCATTTCTTCCAGGTTGTCCATTTTATTGGCATAGAGTTGCTGGCAGTAATCTTTCATGATCTTTTGTATTTCTGCAGTGTCAGTTGTTACTTCTCCTTTTTCATTTCTAATTCTATTGATTTGAGTCTTCTCCCTTTTTTTCTTGATGAGTCTGGCTAATGGTTTATCAATTTTGTTTATCTTCTCAAAGAACCAGCTTTTAGTTTTATTGATCTTTGCTATCATTTCCTTCATTTCTTTTTCATTTATTTCTGATCTGATTTTTATGATTTCTTTTCTTCTGCTAACTTTGGGTTTTTTTTGTTTTTCTTTCTCTAATTGCTTTAGGTGCAAGATTAGGTTTTTTATTCGAGATGTTTCCTGTTTCTTAAGGTAGGATTGTATTGCTATAAACTTCCCTCTTAGAACTGCTTTTGCTGCATCCCATAGATTTTGGGTTGTCGTGTCTCCATTGTCATTTGTTTCTAGGTGTTTTTTTATTTCTTCTTTGATTTCTTCAGTGATCACTTCGTTATTAAGTAGTGTATTGTTTACCCTCCATGTGTTTGTATTTTTTACAGATCTTTTCCCATAATTGATATCTAGTCTCATAGCGTTGTGGTCAGAAAAGACACTTGATATGATTTCAATTTTCTTAAATTTACCAAGGCTTGATTTGTGACCCAAGATATGATCTATCCTGGAGAATGTTCCATGAGCACTTGCGAAAAATGTGTATTCTGTTGTTTTTGGATGGAATGTCCTATAAATATCAATTAAGTCCATCTTGTTTAATGTATCATTTAAAGCTTGTGTTTCCTTATTTATTTTCATTTTGGATGATCTGTCCATTGGTGAAAGTGGGGTGTTAAAGTCCCCTACTATGATTGTGTTACTGTTGATTTCCCCTTTTATGGCTGTTAGTATTTGCCTTATGTATTGAGGTGCTCCTACGTTGGGTGCATAAATATTTACAATTGTTATATCTTCTTCTTGGATCGATCCCTTGATGATTATGTAGTGTCCTTCTTTGTCTCTTCTAATAGTCTTTATTTTAAAGTCTATTTTGTCTGATATGAGAATTGCTACTCCAGCTTTCTTTTGGTTTCCATTTTCATGAAATATCTTTTTCCATCCCCTTACTTTCAGTCTGTATGTATCTCTAGGTCTGAAGTGGGTCTCTTGTAGACAGCAAATGGGTCTTGTTTTGTATCCATTCAGCCAATCTGTGTCTTTTGGTGGGAGCATTTAGTCCATTTACATTTAAGGTAATTATTGATATGTATGTTCCTATTCCCATTTTCTTAATTG